TATCTATATACCTTCATGATGTATTAATTTGCCAGACTCTCGTCTATAACGCATGTCATATAGACATATCGTTTCATCGGCACCAGCTGAAGCTAGATAGTATTTACTACTGGCGACAGCACGTATGCTTGAAACATGGCTGTGAGTCGCAAAGCTTTTCTCTATTTTGTACTCCTGACGGAAGGACAAAAGATAGAATTTATATTTAAAATATTCATATTTAGAGAGAAAGAGAGAATAAACTTGACATTTCCTCATTTAAAGTAGAAATTTTAATTACAAGATATATCTACTTTCCTCTCTAGAACATCTTGAATGATCATATTTTATAAAATAACAAATATATAAATATACAAATATCTAAATATAAATATTAGAAGTATATTTTCCTTGAAATTTATACTTAGGTTGCGTGATTTATGAACTTAACCTATACACAAGACACGTGACGAAATATAACTTACATTTACGATGTTGTGCACTTTGTAGCCAAGTAAATATTGCTCATATGTTCCTACTATAATTTCAAACGGATTCAGCAGTCTCGCGTCTGAATGCATCGTTTTTTCAGCGTTTTATTTGTATTATATTAGTGGAGCACAGTAGAAACAGTACCTGTGCACCGCTTGCACGTGTGTCGAATACGTCTATAGTCTGTGTATGTGGACTTGGACAGTGGACTTCAAACGAACGTGATTGGATTCCTTTGCAGACGACGCCGTTGATGCCATTTCGCCCGCGGAACTTTGAAACTTTTTTCCGCATTTTATTCAAGTGGATAATCACTGTAGTTCAAGTCAGTAATCGCTGCTTAAAGTCAAGTTGAAAAAAAATGTAAATTTTTAACTTTTTTTTTCGATTTTAATATAAAGTTCACTGCAGCATTTCCCAATTTCGCGTTTACTTTGATCCTATAAAAGGATTTTTTATTCCGTTCGGTAAATTCGGAGATTCATATCGATCTGAAATATCCCGATAATTTGGTCATTTCAGCATTCCAGCATTAAGTCTCTGATAGTTTTAAATTTTTAACAAATAACTTTTTCTGTCTTTACAGGTTTCCCAGGACGAAATCAACGCTGGACTGGTAATTTGGTATCAACCCAGACAGCACACGATATTTACAAAATATTTACAAAATATTTAGAAATATTTATAAGATTTATTTTAAATATTTTGTAAATATTTTTGTGGTTTTAGATTGCACAGATCATAAATATTTATTATAAATATTATGAAATACTTATTAGAATAGTTATAGTAAATGCTATAAAAATACTTAATGAGACATTATAATCCAAATAAAAAATACTTAGAAATATTTATTTATATTTATCATAAATATTGCATAAAATATTTAGTCTATATTTTAATAATATTTCGAATAAAGCTTTATATAAAATATCTATATAACATTAAAAAAAATGAATATTAATAAATATTTATCATGAATATTCTGTGCTGTCTGGGAAGGTAAGCATCATTTATTTTCCCTTTGCTCGTAACATTAATCTTTTATTTTCTTTTCTTTTCCAGGTCAACGTTGATATCATTCTGGAATGATTTTTAGGCTTTTAAGAGGATTAAGATAGATAAACTATTATCTATCAGTTTCATAGAACCATTTTTCTTTTACTTACTTGCTTTGTTGTAATTTGTTGATTTTGAATTTCTTGATTTTCCACTTCACGGAAAAGAAGAACTTTTAATTCTTGATAGATTCCGTTAATTTTTCCGTCAGCGCCTCTACACATATATATTTTATATAAACTTAAATTTATTCGAAATATTATTAAAATACAGACTAAATATTTTATATAATATTTTATATAATAATATTTATGATAAAAATATAAATATAAATATCATATCTTAAATAATTCGATTCAACAAAGAATATACATATATTGTATTATTTGAAACATTTAAAATCTTTGATCGTTCTCTATCATATTTATATTTTCATTTACACGATCGTTCGTTAATTTTATAAGTATATAAATATTTCTTTTATATTTTGTAAATATTTTATAAATATTGTTGTTTGAAATGTTCATTTTGAAATTTTCTAATATTAATATCAATCAGTTCATACTATCTCGTGGTGTATATACATCTAATGCCGCATTATAAATTGAAATGTGCACTTTCCGTATGTGTGGATATACCCAGGGTCGGATACGAATGTCAATATTTTGAATATTTGTCGTCAACTGATAAAGGATGTAAAAGTCAATGACTTTTTGCGTAGTAAAAATCTCGCATTGTATTTACATATTTACTTCTGTATCGTTATGATTCATTGTTAGTGCAAATCTAATCTAAAAATTACTCGCATTTACCTCGATATCTTCGAGCATGTTCATTGCTTAAACTATATTTTTAATATTATATACTTGACGAAAATAAGACGTTCTATTTACCGTGATATTAATAGCCAAAGAAGCTACATCACGCTTAATTAACTGTGTACATTTCCAGATTTTGCTTCTTATTGCATTAATTATTTAATATGAATATCCTTAAGAGGATATTCATATTAAATAATTCGTTGCATCTTATTAATGTAGAGGATATGAAAAAGGAGGGCGATTGAAAGAAATTATGCTCGATTGATTGATCGCAATTAGTTCCACATCGTGAAATCATCCACGGAAAGAGAATGATCTTGTTGAAGTATCTAAAACTTTAAGTAAATATAGATCTGAAAATAATTTTGTTGGATTACCAAAATAATTATATGGGAATTCAAGCATGAGCAATGCTGCAAAAAGTTACGACCATTCTAACAAGTTTGTGAGCGCTTCTTAATTATTTTAATAGAAACAACAATATTAGTTTCACAGATGTGTATCTAGCTAAATTTTTTTATACTTCTACAAATGTTCTTTCCATGACGCAAATCTATATCATTGCAAGTATTTTATATACACCTACGTCCCTGCATTTACTCCCCGCGTTACTTGGCAGAGAGACACGTTTGTTCTGCTTGGCGGAAATTTTAGTCGTTTAGTTATAGTCTTTCCGATCTATCGCGTGGTAAATTCTCAACCGATTCTTCAACGGCAACAAAATGAGATTACCGCTCTGTTCGCCGATGCTACTTTTCATTCCTCTCGGAATTTCAGCAGGGATTCGTCTCAACGCGGACGTCTTCGTCGATTTGATACTGGATGTCCGAAAATTTTACTCCGCGGCATCCGTTATTTTTGTCCATCCTGGAGACATGTATGGAGATTATGGGGGTCAGTTTATATTTAAGTATCTTTCAAAAGCGATAGTATTATTATTACTAGAATATATAGGGATGGGCTCGTATCGATACTAAAAAATGTTTGGAAATTATCTTTCAGGTGAAAAAGGAATGATTTTTTTGTACAAAGATTGGTTTGAAATAGCCTCAAAGACAATTTCTAACGGAAATTTTGTAAAATATTGATTAAAAATTATTTTTGAGACTATTTAAACCGATTTTTTATTAAAAAAATCTTTCCTTTTTCACTTGAAGGACAATTTCCAAACGATTTTTAGCGTATCAATATGCGTATTGCCCATTCCTAATTAACAGCATTATATAGTTTAAATGAAAATAAATTGAAGATAATCTTGTTAATTCAGTGTATGTGCCATGCTCTTGTGTTAATAAAATAACTATATGTTTCATTAATATCCCAGACTGCAACACAATATTTAGGGTAATATATTTCGCCTAATATATAAATTATTAAATATATAAATGTATAAATATTTACGCCGCGCGAGGATTTATGTCACAGGAGTCAGAAAAAGTAGAAGTGGGGTAATGTGCACGCAACCACTCTGTTATATGCTTTTATGTTACATTAGTACTGTTATGATTTCAGTTTTTTACTGTTTGTATTAATAAAATTACTGTCAGTTGAATCGATTTGTCAATGTAACAAGTAGCGCAATCATATATCATAACTCACATAAAATGAGTGCACTGTAGGAATTGCAAAAGGCTTTTAATGGTTATTTGGTGATACGTAAGTGTAGAGGGACAGTAAAAAATGGAGTATAGCAAAATACAAGTGCTTTTATATTCTTTGTTTAGCTTGATATCTTGTATATTCCACTTATTTGAGAGATACAGCATTTTCAGCGAAAAGGATTTATGCCCAAGGCATATAAAGCTAAACCTATATCAGTGAAAACTAAGTTTTTGTGTATAAAATATTATATAATATTTCAAAAAAGTAAATAGAAATAAATATTTATAAATATTTATTATAAATATTTGTGCTGTCTGGAATTATAACTGCATGTGTGTTGTGTTATCTATGTGACACTGTGTGAATTAACAAGATTATTTATAATTAGATCATTTGAATGCTGTTAATACAGCATTATTTATGAATGTTAACACGTGTTGCCTTAGCGAATTTTTGTATACCCAACAGAATTATTATTGTTGTTATAAATATATAATAAAAAAGATATCGCGTATGATTAAATATGTAAGACTAAGTACGATCCTAATGGATACTATGTTGAATAGGATATTTTTTCTTATTTTTTATTGTTATCTATCCATTTATATCATTTAAAATTTTACATTAGGCATTTATTTTTTCATAAGCATTTGAGAAACTTTTGATGGCGTCAGTCATCATGACAGTAAACGTGTTATTTTAACTGAACAAATGTTTGGTCAATAATCGATCATCGCGATTAATAGTGCAGTTATTCTTGCACGACTCCGCTTTAAAATATTTTTTTATTATCTTTTCTATCTATATGCCTATAAATGGCATAAATTTATAAAATTGTGCAGTCTGCAGATAGAAGTAATAGAGGAAGACGAAATCACCAAAGCATTTCTACTTTGTTTAAACGATTAGGATTTTTTCTTCTTTTAAGAATTTGAGTGTTTTAAATATCTAAGTTTGTTGAGCTGATTTTGCAAAATTCTCGCTATAGATTTGCGAATCACGCATTTGATACATACGAGCACCCGCTTGCTGAGCCGACGCTACATAATGACTGCGGACGTACACTTTAAAAAGTTATGGAGAACACTTAAATACTATCATCGAATAACTCAGCCTATTACCGTTGTCATTATACCCGACTTTGAGGCGTACCTGGAGTTTGCGGATGCCGTTAAGGCCTATCCCATATCTTTTCCGGTGTGGTTCATTCTGTTTCTCTACACCTCCGACAACAGCACCTATCATCACTGCCGTGAACCAATCGGTAATCCCTTTAATCTAACGTTCGACACGCAGATGTTAGTATTGTGTAAAAACGAGACGATCTTGCGGGAATGGTATTCCGTCAAGGGCGATAGCGTTAAAATCTTTGACCTGGCGGAATGGAGAGACGATAAAGGATTCATTCCTCTGACGAATCTGTCTCTCTACGAACGGAGGAAAGACATGGAAGGAGTTGTCCTACGAGCGGTCGCGGCCAAGGTGCTCCATAAAATTCAATGTGCTTTTTTCTATATGTATAATATGAGTATGTATATTAATATCTTAGTAGCACAGCTTGGTTGACATAACAAAGATTCATTACGTTTATTTAATTCTCTGTAAAGGAGAAAAGAAATATATGCGATAAAGAAAGAGATATCTTGCGTTTGTCGTTATACTTAAGGATGTTTTGTCTATACAATATCAACTAAAATAATCATCCAAAAATAGTTAATATCAGCCAATATCATTACAAAAATTTTGACGATATTAATTAACGATATTAATATAATTCTACAATTCTTACGTTTATAGAAATAATTGTGAAACGTTTTCCGTTCAATTAATCAGTATTAAACAAATGCAGAGTTTATCTTCGACGATTGATGGGAATCAGGTGGCTACTATCTACGGAAAAGTGTTGGAGGAGCTCACGAGTTCTCTTAACTTCACCGTGAAGATTGTCTCTCAGATAAACGAACACGGTGTACAGAATCGGCAAACTCTCATCTGGTCCGGAGTGATGGGCAAGATTGTATCGGGTCGCGCGGATTTCGCTGTCGCCGACATGTCATTGACGAGTCTTCGAAAGCGTTATGTCGATTTCACGATGCCCTTAATCGTATCTAGAATCAATCTGTATATCAAGGAACCGGGAATATGTGGCGTCAAATGGATTGGCTATTTTCAGGTAATACGATTGATTAACGTTCAAATTATGTATTTAGCTCGTTATCGTCGCTTCGAAAATAATAGATAAAAAGTTGCTTAAGCATATCGTGGTATATACTTACAAACGATGCTTGTGAGCGTTGCGAGCGTTAAGTGGAATGTAGCTTGAATCGAATTTGGGAGTTAATTAAAATGAGGTAAAAATTACAAAAATAAGCAAATATTCACCAGAATATTTATAATACAATTTCATTGGTCATCATCTATAGTGTATGTATATGCATATGTATGTAAATGTAAGATAAGATTTTTAATATATGTATTTGATTTTTATACTTGACATCTTAGGCCGATATTCATGGTTGATTCTTATACATATATGAGACTGTCTTAAGTTCAGTCTTAAGATGTTATCTTAAATTAATAAGAGATCGAGTATTAGCATCTTATAAAGACATAACTTGAGATAGTTTTAAAATCAGAATCGATTATGTGAATATATATATCGGTCACAAATTTGAAATTTTCGAATAGTTCGCACATCTTTATATAACTTTTACCATGTTGTAAAAAAGATGAATAAATTAATTTGTTCTTGGCAAAAGGTTACACATATAATATAAAGTAATATTTTATCTTGCTATCTTAAATATCAAGCTACAATTTCCAATACTAACTTGCGTGCAAATTAGTATAAGATGAGAAGTACCTATAACATAAAATATCTCGGTACGATTTTGTCAATTTTTATCAATGTGTCGAAACAACTTTTTAAATCGAATTTGATTTGAATTAGTTATTTAAAAATAACTAATTTTTTTAAACTTGTACAATCACAACAGACTTTCAATTCGCGTACGTGGGCTACAATTATCATACTGATAGCGACCGTGCCGCTACTCTTATTCTTTATGAAATCGTACCGTCATCAATCACGGAGCGCCATGGATCTGATCTCTGAGAATTTCATCTGCATTTGGGGCATCTTTTGTCAGCAGGCGCTTATAGGTATTAATATAAAATTTACAACATACAAAGTAATTAAATTAAATATTTAATTATATAAAATATTCATAAAATATATAATTTCGTTTTCCTGAAAGAGGACAAGATAAATTAAATTTTAATCAAGTTAAAAGTTAAATTTGATATTGGACTTTATTTCCTCCTTTTTAAAAAGTCGATTGGAGCTTTAATTAAACTTTTTCCTCTAGAGTTTCCGAAAAATTTATCGCTGCGCGTCGCATATATTACGATATTTTTGACGGCGATGCTGATAATGGCTCACTATTCAGCGGCGTTAATTTGCTTCCTGACGGTGTGTACTCGCGTTCTGCCTTTTCAAACGCTAGAAGAATTTATCGACGATGGTACCTATAAATTAATCATGATACGTGGTACTGCTGACTATGAAGTAATTACCGTAAGTTCACTCAGTGATCAAAGAATTGCGATTCGACATTTACTTTTAGCTCGTACACGTTTTGAGCGATTGAAATTATGTCAGACTATTGCATTCGGTAATATGAAATTACCTAGATGTCAAAATGTTGGCAAAATGTTGATAGATTGATAACAGATTTGATCAGAAGATGTTAGCAGATTGACCTCAATTTATGTCGCATTCTGCTCCTGTTCTTATAACAATAGTATCTGTTGAACATTCTATGTCAGCAGATTGGCAGAAACCAAGCAAAATCTCGGAATCTGGTAAGAGAATTTGACGGCAAATTGCTAATTGATATCGAGCAGATTCTGTTCTGTTATAAATAGCATAATATGTAATAGAATATGTTATATATGTATTTATTTGTATATTTAAGCTTTAATAATATGTAAAATATATTTAATTTATTAATAAAATTATTTAAAATTATTTCTTCAAAATAGAAAAAATGTAACAAAAACGTCATTTTAAGAAATTTTTTGAAGTAATAACGTTACAATTTTAATACCTACAAAACAGCAAGATCTGCCCGATTTTTACCGTCAATCCGCTGTCAATCAGATCAGATTGTGTGGCGCAGTTTCTGCTTGGTTTCTGCTGCCAACCTGCCATCAGAATCAACAGATTCTGTTTGGTTTCTACTGCAAATCTGTTGACATAGAATGTTATCTCATGTGCTACCGTCAGAACGGAATCAGAATGCGATATTCTGCTAACATTTTGCATTTTGTTTACGGAGCAGTTTTTGTTTGAAATTTGTTGCCTTTCTAGCATTAGAAATCATGTAGCAGACTGCTCAAATTCTGCGGGCTTGGGTACGGTCACATAATATCTACCGTGGTTTCATTATGTTGATATATGGAGCAATAAATAATTAATGCGTTACAAGACGTTTTCGTCACAGTTTCAGGCACAGCACGAAGCAAAGCTTTTCTATGTAAAGCTGATGAAACTAATGAAGGACGAATCGGAATTGCCGAGAAATCTAGAGGAAGGCTTCATGCAAGTACGATCGATAATCCATATTTTTTCGTGAGACATCAAGACGAATGTAATACGAATCAATTTTAATAATATATTTTTATATTTATTATCTTTTATTTCTACAAAATTACTTTCTTCTTCTAATTAATATGATTACTTAAGCGTATTCGTGCTTGAAAAATTTTGTATTGAATCAATTATCTGCTGCTTGTTCAGGTATGCAGTGAGAAAAATGTTGCCTTTATGGTGCTGAGTGCTCGAAAGAAAAGCGTAGAAAAGGAGATACCCTGTAAGTTGTCGAGTATTACTACCGAGAGGATAGACAATTTAGCAATGGTCCTCTCCAAGAATAATCCATACACAGGCGTGATAAATTATCAGTGGGTATATATATATCGCGAAAAACTTTCTTTTTGTATTTATAATCTTTCCTTAAGGTTATAAAAATATCGCGTATACTAGTTTGCAGAAATTTTTGGACAATGGTATGATAATGCGTCTGAGGGAAACATACTCGCCACAGTCGGTTGAAAACAAGATTTACAAACCAGTTTATTTGTTTAACATCGTCCCAATTTTGGCAATTCTCTGCGGAGGTTTTATTATAAGCATCATGATAATGATTATAGAGAAAATTCATTATCGGTCGAGAAAAAAATTTCAATCAAGAGTATTTTCTTCCAGAAAGCTATTTATCAAGAAATATAATAATTGAGATGAAACTTAATCACAATTTAATTCAATAAATATCAAGAGACATCTTTTTAGCGAGAGAATTTCTTCATCATCTTTCTTTCTTTATAAATAAAAATTTCTTTTTGTGTACGTGTGTATGTATGCGTGTTTGTGTGTGCTTGTAAATTTGTCACAGTTAATTATTATTTAAAGTTTTTCCGGTAAAAGCTTAGATTAGGGGGACTCCACTCCAATAATTTTGACCTTGATACATGTTGCGTCCTTTACTCGTAATACATTTAAATAGATATTAATATTATTAACAATTTTGTATTTTATTTAGGTTTAATGATAATATGATTATAATGTATATAATAATAATAATAGAGTATACGATTATGTCGCTGCGCTTGACTTAGCGCCGAGACACTATATCGTGTCTCCAAATTTAAATTATTATATTATGAGTTAAATTTATGATGTGCTAACATTGAAATAAAATAAAAATTAAGATATCTTTCTCACGAAAGAAGATAATAGAACTTTCTAAAGCTATATTTTACTTTAAGCATTCCTTTACATGCTCATTAAAAATTATTTTGTTATTAAAATTGTTCAAAATGCTTTATATATAAATTAAATAATACATCAAATTGTCGAGATTGATCAAGACAATATCTTTTTCTGCTCAGCGTCACATTCCTTTTGCGGGATGTGCACGTTTGCATTGATTTTAATTTATGCGATAAATAATTTCTCGCATTGAATTCATCGTTAATTATTTATCGTACAATTGTACGAAATAGATTTTTATTTTTTCTTACACAGTACTCATTTATTCAAGATCTTAATTTAAACTTGTACATTGTGAAATGAAATATATGATAGTGAGATTGATGGCGATACCCTCCTTCGTGTTGGGCATCAAACCGTTAACAAAAGAAACAGGTATTAACAATGATTTCTGACTAATCAACGGTCATATATCCACAGATATTATCGCATATTATGTGCGGTTTGAAAATTACGTAAGTATACCGGGAACAATTTCTAACTATCATTTCTCACATTGCACGTCAATCAGCTAGTGAAAAAAAAAGTTTTCGCGAACGTTTAAACAAATATTGAATCATAATTTCACTTGTAAATTGTTTTAGTTTTACCGACCGTTAAGTTGTAATTATGTAAAAAATAAGCCATTTTTAGATTTTCTTTTAATGTCAAAATATATAGGACAAAATTCTACACTAATGCTCGTTTCTATCAATGTAGTTTAATTTTAATTTCAATCAATTCTTTATCTTTTTCTAGTTTTGAGAATTAAAAAAAGATGAAAAGTATAGATAAACTGAGATTAACGTTAATCTATATTGGTAGAAACGGGCGAATATTTTTCTTCTCAAATGCTTTGAGCAATATAAACGTGCAATCGCAACAGCCTTGATCACAACTATAAAAATGAATCGGCGTATATATGTACTAGTTACGGAATGTGATAAAGAAAAGTTATATAACATTCTGGAATTTATAATTTCAATAATTTTTTGACGTTTTTTTACTAACATTTTCTAGTTATTAACTCGTCATAAACTCGTTAATTTGTTTTCTGCTTGATCTAAATATTATAGTTTAAATGATATTAAATGAATCATAATAATTGATTAACTTTTAGTAATCTTTTGAAGTCATTTTGACGTTATGATGACTTATGTTCTGCTTGGGATGTCTATTGTTAAATTTAAATGCTAATAATTATAATGCCTACAATGTTCACGAAATGTTGATATTTAACGATGTGTCAATAAGACACAGAAATAACCTGCAAATCTCTCTTTCTCTCGCGCCTATTTTCGCGCCAGATGAAAATATTCGTGGAACTCTCAAAAGAATTATATTACACGTTAACGTTTAAATATTGTACGTCCAATTAATTATCTCTCTCTGCATGTAATTATTTGCAACAAGTGCAACAAAGTGTAAGCTAGATCTTTCCACGAAAATAACTTTTTTAATTATCGTCTTCAGATATTGATATGTGATATCGCGCGATTTAACTTACGACACAAATATTTACGTAAGATGATAAGAGACAAGCGATATGTTTATATTTAGGACGTAACACTTCGAATATTGTTCAGTCAGTTTCGTGTCGTCGTACTGTCGTTTTAAAAGTACTCGGTACATTTAGAAAAATGGTAGAAGGCAAAATCATCGCTATCGATGTACAGGATATAAGATTTCCGACATCGTTAAATCGAGATGGAAGTGACGCAATGGTACTTATTATTAAAAAATTTGATATGTTCGCTGTTAGTTCATTATTCTGATAAATCAGCAAGAGAATATCCATATTAATACGCTAAGCATTACTCACGCATAAATTAATTTACGCTAATAGTAAATAATCGTTATTACGCGTAAATTAATAAAATAAATATTAATTTTCATTAATAGTAAACAGCAAAATTAATAATAATAAGTAATATATTAATAATCATTTACTTAGAATGATGCTTTAGATTGCACGTTAAATTAATTACTAATTTTCGATCTTTATTTATTGTCAAATTATATTTAATTTCAATTATATTATATTTAATACTGTCAGTCTTTATTTATAACAACAGCATACTGATCCTGATTATTCTTGCGTGTACGTAACGATTAAAACAAGTACCAAGCATGAAGGATATGGTCTTACGTTCACCTTGGGAAGAGGAACTGAAATCGGTATTACAATATATATTGAGATATATATAATATATGTACATTAATAATATTTTGAATACATACGCTTTTACTTAAACAATAATTTCGACAGTTATGCAAGCATGTAAGGCTCTAGCCAAGATTGTAATGCAAATTCGAAGATTAGAATGGATTTACAATGATTTTGCGAAATTTTGGAGACGTTTAACGAGCGACTCGCAATTGAGATGGGTAATGAGTAATGAATAATAAAGACACAGTAATTAAAATATGAAGATTATCATGTAATCGAGATATTTTAGATCGGCCCGGAGAAAGGTGTGATACATCTAGCTACAGCGGCTATTATAAATGCACTGTGGGATTTATGGGCCCGTATCGAGAAAAAACCTGTCTGGAAGCTTCTTTCTGACATGACACCCAAGCAGCTCTTATCTGTCATAGATTTCAGATACACGTAAGCCGAAATTTTTTGTAAACCAAAGTATAGAGTGACATTTACCCTCATGATAAATTCTATGTATACTCGTATATTTTTATACAGTCGAGACATAGTGGATGAGCATAACGCGAGAATAATACTCGAGGAGAAAATGGAACATAGGCAGAAGCAAGAAAAGAAATTGCTGGAGAATGGATATCCCGCATACACCACTCAGGTCGGATGGCTAGGCTATAGTGATCAGCAGCTTGAGGATCTTTGTAAAAAATTTCTCGACCTTGGTTATACAGCATTTAAGATTAAAGTAGGCAATAATTTGCAAGATGATATTAGAAGATGCGAAGTGATACGCAAAGCGATCGGCTACGGAAACAGATTGATGCTGGACGCGAATCAGGTGTGGGACGTGAAAGAAGCGATCGAGTGGATGGAGAAGCTGGCGAAATTTAAACCCACTTGGATAGAGGAACCAACGTCTCCCGACGATGTCAATGGACACGCTGAGATACTGAACAAGTTAAAGCCATATGGTATTGGAGTGGCTACTGGCGAGATGTGTGCAAATCGCGTTATGTTCAAGCAGTTTCTGAGATACCACGCGATTAGTTATTGTCAGGTTGATTCGGCAAGGATTGGTGGGATTAACGAGATCCTGGCTGTTTATTTGATGGCACACATAACTAAAAGTAAGTCTATTATAACCAATAAATTAAATCTTTAGACTTGGTTAAGATTAGAGAGTAGATAAGTTTCAGATTTCAATCTTTATTTCTTCAACATTTCAAGGAACTGATTCTTAACGAATCTATAATTGATTTCTACTCGTTAAAGGGAAACAGAATGTAAGATGAAAATTTTTATTTACAGCACCAGTTTGTCCGCATGCTGGTGGAATAGGTTTGTGCGAGATGGTTCAGCATCTCCAAATGTGGGACTATATTTGCTTAAGTCAGACCACTGAAAATCGAATGATTGAATTTGTGGATCAACAGCACGAACACTTTGAGAATCCTGTTCAAATTAAAAACGCATGTTACATGCCACCTATGAGTCCTGGATACTCGACTAAACTTAAGGAAAAGAGCATCAAAGAGTATGCTTATCCAGAAGGTAATTATTGGAGAAACAATTAACGATTACTGAAGAAAAAGAAGTTGAGGAAAAACATGATTAAACGCTTTTAAAAATTTAATTTGTATCTATAATTCGTTTTATAAAAATCTATATAATACTGTTTATGTATTTTTAAGTATAATAAGATATATACACATATATTAAGATTAAACAATTAAATGCAACAATAAAATATATATACATTATGCAAGATACATGTATATTAGTTACATATAAGATATATACGATTTAATGTAATACGAAACTGTAATATTATCTCTCTTAACCCTCAATAAACATATAATCTTTGTTATATTCTATATATAATAAATATTTTTACCCGCAACCACATCCAACGTTCCATGATAAATTGCACAAAATTTTAATATCTAATTCATACCAAGAAGGCAAGTAACAAAGTAAAACTATAATGTTCTATTTTTACTATTTTCTAAGCGAGATTTCACATAGTCCGGCTGCACAAAAGAATAGCAATACATATAACAAAAATGTATCTTTCACAGTATTTATCTAATAAGCTTTATAATTTTTATACTTACGCTCACAAACCAATAGTTATTGGGATTGGGAAACATCAACTTTCTTAGGCCACTCATTTTCTCTATTGGCGAAATAACATGTAAATGTAAATGATGAACGGTATTAAATGGTGGCCAATGAAACCCTGTTCGCGTAGATGCAGGATCAAGATTCATCTTTTCGGAGATAATGCCTACCGTAGTAACAATCTTGTCGACTGAAATTCAGATGTAATCCAAGAATAACAGAAAGATCA